AGCTTCTGCACACTTAACTTCTCCTTATTGAGAGCTTCAACAATCTCAACTTTTTGTTTAAGTGTGAGCATTTTTTTATTTGGAACCATTTTTTGTCCTGTTAGGAGAACATTTTCCTTTGTCCGCGTCCGTTCAAGAGAATGTTCGTCCAAGAGAGAGTTAATACAATTCAAATTATATGAGAGTCGGCCATGAGGAACTGTCCGTGCAAGAGGGGTGTCGGCGAAGGGGAATTTCACTGTATTTCGTTTTCCTAAGCCTGTAAAAAATATTAATTGATTCTATGAAATTAGCTATGAGCCTTTAGCTAATAGTCTGACATTTGTCAGCAGCATTTGTTTTCTCATCCAAAAGGCGCCGAATCCATAAAAGGTACCTTTGCACGTTCTCTTTACAGTGGTATTGCAGTCTAACGCACTGAAAAATGTTGCATGTTGCAACCGGTATGGAATGGAGAAAAATCAAACTTTGCGTCTTGAACCGAATCGCTGTAAATGTAGCGCAAAAAACTATTCTGTGGAAAATATATTTTAAACAGGGTAGGGAAAGATTCCATCTACAGAGAAATCCAAATATCACTGACGTCATAATGTGTATGGCGACGCGGCAAGCCGCAGCTGCGTCCGTGACCTCGTCACTCGGGTTGCCAGGCAACGAAGTTTTCTATCTCTTTCTAACATACGTATTGTACGCTTCTATCTCGTACACATTACGACGTCAGTGGTATATGGATTTCTCTGTACGAGTATACAGGGTGTAAACGTTATGATAGTCATTATTTAAATGGGTGATAGAGGGTGTTAAAAGAAGCAAAAATTTTCTTATAACATGGGGGTCCAAACGGAATTTTTTTAGAGGAAAGCTACTTTAAAGTAAAATAAAATCTGACAACGCCGCAATGCCAGACGCAAATTACGACGGAACATGGAGTTTGGCTCTTAGGTATTATTTCATTATTTGATAATGCACTCGTAAAATGCAAACAATTAAAAAAAAAACGGACTAATTGCCTCAGCGCTTCACCTGATGTGTGAAAGTTTATTGAACGTATTAAAAAAATCCTCTTATAGACAATTTTGATACATACATTGTTTTTCTTTTTAAAACCCACACCGCACTTTTTTGTATGTAAAGAAGGTGTTCAAAATGCCGTCCTCCACTTTCCACACAAGCTTCATTACGACGAACCCAGTTTCTTCTTACTCTATGTCCTCGAAGTTGTCCATTTATTTCAACCGCATTAAATTTTTTTTCGCGAAGTTGTGCTTCAGTTGTTATTGGACCAGCCCCATAAACCATCTCTGAGTTATCCCCAATACCACAAATCCATCGGATTGAGGTCAGGAGATCTTGCTGGCCATTTTCCAGGATCAGGAGCATTTCGACCGATCCAGCGATTTGGATAATGTTTATTCAAATACTGAATGACGCCTCTAAAATGTGTGGTGGTGCCCCGTCATGAAAAAAACATAAATTCTATCTCCGTTGTAATGGCATGTTGTCTAAGGTCTGTTCCAAAAGTTCTGATAGGTTATTGGCTAGAAAGCTAAGGTATCCTTTTCCTGACAACTTTGGGGGTAACTCGAAAGGGCCACTTACCCGATCGTCAAGAATACCAGCCCAAATATTTATTTGTTGTAAATGACCTTCACGAATGGTATGAGGATTTTCTTGGGCCCACGTGTGAGTATTATGGAAATTTAATATCCTGTTTTTAAAAAAATCCGGATTTTCAATGTTTTTGTGCAATAACCACTGACAGAATGTTAGTCTTCAAGGATAGTCTTCTGATAACAAAGCCTGCACTCGTTGTACATGGTAGAGATAAAGCAAATTTTCCCGTAGGATTCTATGGTCTATGGTATGCGATACTTCTACGCGGCGGCCTAATTCCCGAGTGCTGATATCTGCATTTGTTCTTCCTGCTCTACAGTAACCTGTCTTTCACGAGTGCGAATATTTGTGGGCTGAACACTTCCTTTATCTCGAAGTCTTTGTACACGTTGGCGAAATCTGTCGCGATAAATTTGAGCTGCAAGATTTGAATTCTGACGAGCTTCACCGTAAACTAGCAACATGTCGGCGAACTCTTGATTCGAGAACATTGTAAATAAACACGACGACGTACGCGAACAAAAACAAAACAACATACTAATCACTGTAACCGTTTGCGATCGATTGCGGGTTCGATAAGAGTGATGAAAGACCGACGCGCTGTTGTCATGTGTGTTTTAAATATTTAATTTAATGAAACTTACTGACCAGAAATTTTGGCTTAACTTATAAAAACTTAATGTCATTTATTTGTTAATTACCAAATTTATAAACGTTTTAGATTAGATTATAAAAATTAGTAAGATTGTGGTCCAGTTGTAAACTATAAAGTCATTTAGACAAAAATCTCTTGACTTTTGGACCATGGGTCATATGAAATTTTTGACTTGTTTTGACCCGCCCTATTACCCATTTTAATAATGACTACCATAACGTTTACACCCTGCATATAGATTGGCAAAGTTTTTAGTGTTGTTCAGTATCGGTTGGGTTTATGGCAACCAGCGAAAGATATCCCCACAATAAATATTGTAGGCAAGAAACTAACTTAAATTAAAGATATCGGTAAGTTTAGCTCAATCAATTTACTATAGTACTATCTAGAGTAGCTCTTTGTCCGTGAAATTTTTGGACATCTTGTATACAAAGTAATATTGTCTTACGATCTGTGCATGAATGTGCTATTGAAACAGCTGTTTCACTAAAACGGGAATAATGTTGATCTGGTGTACAGAAAATATGAAGCATACTTTATAAATTCTAAACATATTTTTGTTTCTCAAAAGTGGACTTGTGTAAACTGATCGATATTGTAAAAAGTAAAGTGCTTCCATGAAGTGGTCATTCATAGATTTGTATATATTTACATATGATCATTACAAAAATATACGGACGGAAATATTTTCTCAAGATTGCTGAAATAATGGACCAAATAAATGGATACTCTTTCTATTAATGTTCTCATACATTCCTTATTTACTTAAGTGGAGTGCAATCGATACAAGTTCTTTTCCGTTTCAAAATTACGTCTGAAGTTGTCCTCACCTTTCAAACAGTACTATTTTTAAAATGCTAACTCGCACATGTTCATCTATGAGCCAAGAAAATATGATTTTAAGCATAGATAAATCATGCATTTGTTGCGGGCAATGACGATAACTGGACATTGATGTGAATGCCCGCTGCGAGCGGGCAATGTTATTATTCTCATTTTGTTCAGCTTTTGAACACGATGGCTGAAATGGACTAGGCTATGCACACATAATAGATTTCCCCGTGCACTTGTCCTTAAAGAAAAATATTCTCAGCAGGCGGATCGCGTACCTATTGGATGCGTCTGCTTCTGCTCCCGGCGGCGTGCCGGTCTTGGTAAGTATTCTGGTATTACTGCCGCCTCTCACTGGTGGTATTATGTAAAAAACGTATAAAACGTCAACTTATAAGATATCATCTTGCAGATAGTTTTTAGGGTGCAAACTGTCATTCGACGTTTGCTCACTAGGATCGTTGTGAGCGCGATCCAAAGCGTCCATCTATGGAGGAATGAATGAACGATACGGCACGCTCGTCTCTTTTCAAGTATGCATTGTTGATTGCAGTCAGCCACTTTGTTTGTAGACAACTAAGTGCTAAGTTAACATCTTGTAGAAAAACCTACATAATGTCAAAAAACAGAATAATGTCACCTTTCAAGATACGTGATACCCGTGCCGTGCCGGTTAGATATCTGAGAGAGGCGACGTTGCCAGATGTACTAGCGGTAGGGCAAGGAAAGAACGTCTATGGGCTAAATGTACGGACCTCGTTGACTAGAGGGTTTGTTCTGAAGATAGTCCTTCATGGCGTTGCGTGAGAAGTACAGAGTCAACTTCCTTGACGCCATTGTTTATCTATACGTATACTGCCCAACTTGGCTGGGTATTCACATCAGTTTCCAAATATAGCCAAATTCAGGATGATCTGATACTATACAATCTTTTTAACGTTCATTTACATCACACATAGGTTGCTCTACATCTAGAAGTGGATCAGTGGATTGTCGAATATTTTGTCAATGCCCCAGTAAGAGTGTGTTGTCATAGCAATATTATCAACGCCAAATCGGTAGTTATAACTGTCATTCATAGATTTCATGATATCATTTTTTCAGAACCGATTTATTCAGGCATTGTTGCACTGGATAAGGGGCATGTCACGTGAAGCAGAGAGCGAAAAAGTGAGGTTTTGAATTTCGTTCATGTTGGGCCTGTTTGTACATCTAGTTGGTGTGTAAGAGAAATCATGATTTTTCCGAGGTAAGTTCATTTGCCAAGTTATGGGCTTAAACAGAGAAGCGTAATGGAAATTGGGATCTTTTTTAACTGAAACACACTATAATATACATATTTTGAAGAAAAAATCAGGATAAAGACTGTAGGAGTTACGCAAGTTTGAAGCGTTTACTTCCGTTTTTTTTTTTTCAAATTTCAATATTTAAGAAAATCGCATAAAAATAAACTATAATTTTGCGTTACAATATATTTGAAATGATGTTTAAAAGAAAATGAAAAGAATATTTCGTGAATAGTGAAAATTCTTAAAGATGCAAATTTTGTTTTTCTAAATATCTGTATGTGATGTAACTGTTGTAGTTTTTCAAAAGAATGTTAATAAATCTGGAATAACAAGAACAAGTCGAAAAAAATGTTTCGAAGAAATCCCATTTTCAAATCTCTTTTGAAGCTCGTAACGCAAATGAACGTGCTACGAAAGAAAATCGTGTTTTCTCTTTCGCATGTACTAGATATACAAACATCCCAAATATAAACGAATTTTAAAACCTTTTTTCGATGCCCACTTCACGTAAAATGCCCCACATGTATGATTTAACCAATAGGTTTTACAATGTATATAAGTAAGGGTCGTTGGTGTAGGGTTAAAATTGTTAATTATTTATAGTGAAAAGTATGCACGTGAGCGAAAGGTATAACTAAAGGCATGCATTATTGAAAACAATGGCTATTTTATTTTAACGAGATTAAAAATCACAATCTTGATAATTCCTCTACAGGAATTCATGCCGCTAGTTTTATTTTCCGTTATTTTACTTTAATTTTAAGTAGGCTGTTTGTGTATACATAATCCTTTACGATGAGCTGAGCAGATATGGAAAATCACTGAGACTAGCTATCTACCCCATGGTTGGGGTTGGCAAAAAAGGTCAAAGTGGGACTAGTTGTCTACTACTAAATGGGATGCCCAGTTTCAAACAAAAGGTTGTGGACCATTATCCATACAGTGAGAACCGAATTCGACTGACGCTTTAAGTATTAGGGAAGCGCGAGAAGTGTGTAAAAATGCATATGTTAGAAAAAGATAGAATCCGGCTGAAGAGCGTTGCCCAGCAACGGTAACGCAGAAGGTCGTGCAATCTGCCGCGTTACCAACATGTTACACCAGTTCCTCATGTTGAAAATATGCGTTACTTTATTCTCTACGTCGAAATAATGGTTTTATTTTGAGCGTACACATTTTTGAATGTTTAGAATCGATTCGGAATCGGTGTTAACGGCGCTCCATTTTAGGTCAAGATCGCCACAAATTCATCATCATTCGTCTTTGGTCCGCTTGACAACACCGCAACTCGTACATTCTTAGGCAAGGTTTCCACCTCCATAGATCATAGAAGAGTGCGTCCTGCTTCGAAATAGTTTTCACCTGTGTATACGCAGGCGGTGTTAATTTGAATTGCGTAACATTAGTTTCTCACCGCTCTCTGTCGGAAAATGTAACAATAACCCAGGATGTGTTAGTTTTATCACCATCGGTGGAAATCGAGGATAATTTTAAAATAAATTAAAACACTTATGCATTAAAAAATGTTGTTGTTGTTGAAGATTTATTTAGCATTAATGTTACAATGTCAATTTTGTATAATTATTCGTTTACACATTTTTCGTCAATCCATTTTCTATAGTTTTACATCTATTAAAATTACATGACTACGCATTTTGAGTATTCCTAAAGTGATTTTTTAATTGCACCTTAAATATTTTTAAATTCGAACAGTGTTTAATATCATTATTCAATTTATTAAATTCAAATACTTCCATATAAAATACAGATTTGCTAGTTATGCTATTATTACAATTTTGCAGATGAAATTCTATACTGCCTCTAGTTTTGTAGTTATGATAATGACTATTTTGTGAAGTAGAATTTTTAATTTTGAAAATATATTTTCATCTGCTGTAAACAAAATGGTTGAATGATATAAAAAATGGGGAAGAATTATAGTGTTATACACATTTTTTAAATACATACTAAAGTTAAGGGAAACTATAGAAGTAACTTATATTTTTTGATATTTTGGAAATAATGTACTCATAATGCTCGTGAAACAGTACTTTACTATCCACATACATATATAACCAGAAATATCTATTCGACTACTTCAATTGTTTCAACGTTTAACCAATTCATATTTTTTTAATATCACTATTTAACGCAGTCTACATGTCTACAAATATTTATGTGCGATATATGTATGTATATCAATGTATCGTCCGCAAATATTTGAATTTTGTTAAATAATCTTATAAAATGTTCAATTCTGATCTTTTAAAACCATAGTGATGCAATTTCACTAACAATTGTTGGTAATTCTCTAGGTAAGCTACACCAGCCGTTTTTTGATGATAAAATGATTTCATACCCTAGTTTTTGGGTGTGTCTACAGTCTCGAATGCGCTTTTGAAGTCTAAAATTACTGTTATAATTCATTCTTCCTCATCTATAGTTCTTCTCTAGTCTTCCACCACCATTTGTATTGCTGTTTCTCTAGTTTTTCTAAATCCAGCTTGATTTTTTGTCAACGTTTTGTTTTCTTCAATGAACCCAATGATTTGTTCGTAAATTATCCCTTCGAACAGCTTCTCGGCCTCTGGCAAGACATTAATCGGCCGCATATTTGTATATAGCTCACAATGTTGAACGGCAGCCTCTGCACTTGTGGCCTTACTGTACCACAGTATCAGATTCACTTTGTGTTCGGAAGTGTATGTGAAACTCATGAAATTCTGTGACCTCCGCTGATGGTTACGTTTGAAGGAAATACGAAAAAGAACAAATGTAGTGCTCTACTCTTGTATTCACCAATTTGAACTCCTTGAATCCCCGCCACTGTTCGAATCCACGGTATTATACATGCTCTCCAAATAGTGTGTCAAAGCTCAATATTTTCGTTATTATTAGAGTCGCAGAAAAAAGTTAAATACAAGTTGTAGGCAAAGGAAAGGGCTACAACCTGAAATTCTTTTAGCTATACAAGATGTCCCATAAATTAGTGGCAATATAAAGTTGTATTTTCTTAAATGGGACACCCTGTATTTCTTTTGATTTTCAGAATCGCCTTTTCATGGCCATTCTGCCAATGCATTGTTTCGGGGGTTTGTACTGGGTATTTTGGAATATATTACCCTTTTTTCGTTAAAATCATTCTACTTTTGACTTCCGGTATCTTAATCACACTTTAGATAAAATCTGTTCTATTATACTGAGTGATGCAAACAGTGATAGACATTCATATCCAATATTTTTTACCTACATGTTTCATCCGAGGCATACAGGGTGAGTCAAAACGAAAAGACGTAATTTTCTCGAAAAAATTAAATGCAACATCCTGTATCTTATATTTCTGTTCAATGCGTCTCGTAGTGCTCTTCCAGTTTTATTAAGCATTACATGTTTTAGAAGTGAAAACCATAATTTTGGAATCATTAGGAAAATACCATATCAGTTAAAATATGTCGCTGAGTGCTTAAAAAATGTAATTAAACAACTAAGTATGGGCAACCTATATTTTCCTAATAACTCCAATACTATCATGCTTTTCACTTATAAAGCATGTAATATCTCAAAAAATACTAGGTTTAGGATAGGGAAATTGAAAAGGCATCAAGAGACCCGTTGAATAGAGATATATAACATACAGTGTGTTTAATTTAAATTAAAACGTTGGATATGAATGTCGACCACTGTTTCAAACTACTATTTGGGTGTAGAGAATAAACTAACGCATATTTTCAACATGCATCATTCATGGAACTGGTGTAACATACTGGCAACGCGGCAGATTGGTCAGTCAATCAAAGTTGTTTGGAGATCAAAAAAATGAAGATGAAAAAAACACGTCTCTATCTAGTCCTAGTTTTCAATATACACATCGACTAACTCCCTCTTGAAGGACCGTATACACGTTCGATACAAACAAAACGCAAATGATGGAAAATGATTATACATCTGGCCTATCAATGTCTGAAATATAATAGATCTTATCGTTACAAGCAACTTTATCATTTTCACCATCTGCTTTTTGGATGAATTGTATGTATATAGTTGTTAACTTTATTTTTTTCAAAATTTTTATTCTACCGGTATTTGTTTGTGAAAGATACTATATCTAAACATTTATATCATCTAGCATACTTCAGCACAATGTGATTATCCGAACCACTGAAAGACAGTGAATCGCAAGCAGAGCATGTTTATTATAATGTGATTATTGTTGTTTATTTACATATCAAACTGCTAGTGTGGATATTACCAAAAGAAATTGGGTTTTGTTATGTAAAGTATGAAAATATTATCAGATGCTTCAGTAATACCATCGAAATATAGTCTTTTGGTAATGTCTGAACCTACTAAAAGATCCAGCTCACTGGATTCAGTAATTTGCGGACATCCGAAATTCCATTTTAGCCTCAAAGTATTAGTTGTTTATAACCCACAAGGTTTAAAAACAAATGTGGGATGTGTTGTGATTTTAGGATTTTTTTCAATAAATTTTATTCAACTTACTCGTTGAAATTAAATCAAATATGTATATTATTGGTGGAAGCCTCATTTTAGTTATTTGAAAATTTTGTAATAAGAAACTAAATATATAGATTTAGTTCATATCTGTATTTGTTGTTTTCTAAATTTCTAAATAAAAACATGAAAACATAAATACATTCTTGGGTTCGTACTTACCGTTACGTGTTTTTCAATGATGCTAGATCCCTGGAGTACTAAGAATTCTGGACGTAAGCTCACTCTATTCTTGGAATGTCCAGGTGGAGCGTGGACTCAAGGGATCAACATCGATGATGAAATTTGTTGCACGAACACCGCAGGATTAACATCAACATTAATTGTGATTACCACCACCAACAGTCTAATCATCCCGCCATGCTTTTCTTGGCGGAGACCAAAATCTCATATTCTGCATCCATTAATCATCTTAGCTTACGAGGTGCATTCCAATCTGAGAAAGAACGGGGGAGTTATGGCTTTTGCAAGACCGATGCAGCAGGTCGTATAGTTGAAGTGTTCGCTATTACCCAAAGACTGACCCAGCTGGTGGCGAGCTCTACTTTTTCCCTGCCTTTCGGGACACGCCTGCTGGATTTCTTTCTCACCACGCACTGCTGCTGTCCTGTTTCCCCTGGGTAACTCAGACCATGACGTTGTCAAGGTTAGAACCCGCTGTGGCAGCAGAAACTTGCCCACGCCACAAAATTTGGCTATAGGGACATGCCGACTGGGAGGTGCTCGGAAAAATTCTCTCCACCTTTCCTTGAAGCGATGTTTGTTTCGCTAACGAGGAAATTATCTATCCACGCTGGGATGGAGGAATACATCCTTCCTACAATGAAAGTGCCTAAACTAGGGTCCAACAAATCGTGCGACACTGCAGAAAATCAAGGCACACAGAACTTTATTACAAAACCCCACTGTAGAGAACAGACGGTTCACAATGCCAAAACTAGCATGGTATAAAAGTTAGGCATAAGTCGATGTGTCAACAACACGGCCAGTACGGGCCGGTGTTCCTCAGTTCGATCCTAGGACCAATCCTTTATTCGCTTTTTATCCATGATGTCCCTTGCCCCAGCAACTGTGAAGTCCAGCTCTATGCTGACGACACTGCACTTGTCGCCC